GCACTTATAACTGCCCATGAGCCTCCAAAATGGGTAGTTCTCGCCATTGGGGTCCCTGTAGGGTCCTGTTTATAAGCGTGCCGTGGTATTTTGGGGACCTAGAAAAGGACCCGACCCTAATAGAGAACTACCCAAATGCAGGGGCCTCAGAAGGTTGGATTCAGGTAGTCAGGACGACGCTGTTCGCGTTTCGGGTAATGTTTGTTTTTTTTGGGGGGGGGGACCTAAATTCAAGGGACCCTAATTGAGAGAACGCCCGATGTGTGTAGTGAGGACTTAGTACTGGGAGGATCATGGGACGTAGTAAGTAAGGTTATAAGTTCCTCAGTTGGGGTTATAAGTAGAGTTACCCTAGTTATAGCCCTAGTTACTAAGTCCCATGATCCTTTTAGTAGGGTTCGGGAGGTCTTCAGGTGGAGCTCTTCCTGTGGTTTCTGCAATCCTGTCGAAATCAACCCCATGAATATAGGGGCCTTAACAAACACCTATACTATTTTGGCGGCTCCCTCTTACTATATTATTATAGTATAGTGGGCCCCAAAACCCTATTTTAATCATTAAGGCCCCTATATTCGATGAAGTCTTTGGTCAACCCTGCCAAAACTCTCTCACAAGCCTGGCGCCTCCAATATCCATTAATTAAGGAATATTCCTTAAATCATTTTAGGGATCCTATTACAATGCAAGGTATATTCCTTAATTAAGGGATATTGGAGTCTTTGGGAGCCTGGCGCCCTTCAGCCGGAAGCCAAGGTTGGACGATGTGAAGCTGAAGCCCGAGGTGGGAAGAGTGCAAACCCTAAACGTATGGTTCAGGGGTTTAGGGGTTTAGGGGGTTTAGGGTTCAGGGTTCAGGGTCTAGGGTTTAGGATTTAGGGTTTAGGGGTAGAGGCCAAAAAGTTGGACAGCCGGTAGCCAAGAGTAAAGTATAGGGAATCCCAGCATTATTTGTCCTCAATTAGGTTTCCAACTTTTTGGGGTTTACTGTAAATCCATAACCTCAAACCCTAAACCCGAAAGCTAGTCGGGGATCGGGGCTCGAAATGCTATTCACAAAATCCCTGCGAAAGACGGTCTTGAAACATAGCTTAGGGGTTTAGGGTTTAGGGGTCCTGAAGTCCTGAAACCCAAAGTCCTAAACCCTGTGTTCGCATGAGTTAGACTTTCGGGGCCCGGTGAAGGGTTGGCAGTGTAGGTATTGCAAGCTGCACATACGATTGCATGGAGGTGAGAGCTCCTGGCAACGCTTGGCTGAGTTGTGTCGTAGTTCAAATTCCCCTCGGAAGAACAGCTTTGCTGAGTTTACTGTCAAGCAAAACTGAGCTCCTAAGCTCAGATAAATGGCGTCCGTTGAGTGTTGAGTCTTAAGGGGTTCCTATTCCTTAGGGTTGCAAATGATAACATGAAAATTGGTATAGTTCTGTCTATCACTGCCCCTCTACCACACCTTTAAGATACTCCTCATAGTATTCAAGGGCACCCTTCAAGGAGCCCTCTCGTGATTCAAGCCCCTCTACCCCTAAGTTCCCGAAAAGAACCATTTAAACGAGGATTTAAAAGAACCCAAAACCTAAACCCCAAAAGCCCTAATTCCTAAAGCCTAATATTTATGGTCTAGAGCCCGGATCATAGGGCGTTTTGGGTTCAACTGGGCTCCGGTGGCTAATGCTACAATTTACTTTAATACGCCGTGTTGTAAAAGAGTGTACTCTTACTTTGAATATACTACAGCCAACCCTAAAGCCTAAAACCTAGTCCAAGTCGGATCTTGGGGGTTCTAAGAGCTTAATGGCCGGGAAGAGTAAGAGCCCCCCTAAACCCTAAACCCTAAACCCTAAACCCTAAACCCTAAACTGCAGGGCGTCGTGGACGTCGGCTATGCCAACCCAGACAAGCCCATCCAGCGCGCAGCAGACCTCACGGCCTCGCCCCGGCTCGTTGTTTAGGGGTTTAGGGTTTAGGGTTTGGGATTTAGGGTTTAGGGTTTAGGGTTTAGGGTTTGGGATTTAGGGCTTTAGGGTTTAGGGTTTAGGGTTTAGGATTAGAGGTTAGGGATTAGGGGTTTAGGATTAGAGGTTAGGGTTTAGGGTTTAGGATTAGAGGTTAGGGATTAGGGTTTAGGATTAGAGGTTAGGGATTAGGGGTTTAGGATTAGAGGTTAGGGATTAGGGTTTAGGATTAGAGGTTAGGGATTAGGGGTTTAGGGTTTGGGATTAGAGGTTAGGGATTAGGGGTTAGGGTTTAGGATTAGAGGTTAGGGATTAGGGGTTTAGGGGTTTAGGATTAGAGGTTAGGGATTAGGGGTTTAGGGTTTAGGATTAGAGGTTAGGGATTAGGGGTTTAGGGTTTAGGATTAGAGGTTAGGGATTAGGGGTTTAGGGTTTGGGATTAGAGGTTAGGGATTAGGGTTTAGGGTTTGGGATTAGAGGTTAGGGATTAGGGGATTAGGGTTAGAGGTTAGGGATTAGGGTTTCGGGTTTAGGATTAGAGGTTAGGGATTAGGGTTTAGGATTAGAGGTTAGGGATTAGGGTGTAGGGCGTCGTTGATTACAGGTTAGGGATTACTTGGAGGTTCGAGGGTAGTTGTAAGTAGGGTCATAAATAGGGTAACTATGCTTTTAACCTACATTGGGGGACTTATAACCCCACTTATAATAACTATCCATGAACCTCCAAGTATGGTTTAGGGTTTAGGGCGATAACGAATCTCCGTGCAACTGTTGAGTTTCGTGGGTCCAAGGTCTGGTGGGGGAGAGAGCGCAAACTGTATAGCGTCCTCGCATTGTGCTTCCTCCTCTTGTGATCCGTGTGGAGCCCCACTGAATGCCCGCACCGCTGAAACCCGGAACCCCAAGCCCCAAAACATAAGCCCCTATAAGCTAAACCCTGTGCTCTAAAAGCCGAGCCGCCTCGCCAGAACGAGAGTACCGACATGCGCTGGTATCAGGGAGGCCTGAAGCTCAGTGGAGGTGAGCTGCGGCCCGTAAGACTAGAATAAGCGAAGCGTCTCATGCTTAGGGTATGACGGCTCTACATTAGTGATCCCTTAAACCGAGATCGTTGTGTTTGTGCAGTCCTTAGCCCCCTTGTCGAGGCTGAGTCGTAAGGCCTAAACCTTTCGAATTCGGGGCCTTTGGTGGTATTGTCGAGCATATTGTGGTGTGTCGGAGCGTTGAGAGTTGAATGCTCGGTACTACTAAGGATGTGGGTAGCTCTCCGAATTAGGGTCCCTCCCAGGGTCCGTTTTATAAGTTTGCGCTAGTACAAAAGGAGCCCCAAACCCTACACCCCCAAAATGGATCCTAACTTAGAGAACTACCCGCGTGTTCGGTGGCTACAGCTAGCAAAAACCGGCAGCTAGATCGTCGGCAACACGGACCGAGCGAAGCCCGACGCCCTTGCATGGTATCGTCGTGCTTCTGAAAGAAGCCGTGCCAAGATGCTTGAGAATCGAGGGTTTAGGGTTTAGGGGTTTAGGGTTTAGGGCTTTAGGGTTTAGGGGTTTAGGGGTTTAGGGTTTAGGGGTTTAGGGTCGAGGGCTCAGCAAGTTGAGTTAGTGAGCTTTTTCCGGTCGCCGGCCAGAGCCATCAACCCGAAACCAGCCTTGTCTTTTTTCATGGTTCACCCAAAATAATAAGCAGACTGGCTAGTAGACCTGCTTAAATACTTCCTACTAAGGGATATAGGTATAGGGCTCTGTCTATTGCTTTCTAAAAGGACAAGAGTGCCCGAAACCTGAGACCTGGAAACCAAAGCCCAAGGCCCAACACTCGCTGCGCTGCAGCCTTCTAAGAAAATAAAAGCAATAATGATAATGGTAGTGAAAAGCTGTATTAATGATAGTGATATCGAAAACGGTAATAATGATAATGGTAGTGAGAAGCTGTATTAATGATAGTGATAACGAAAATGGTAATAATGATAGTGATAATGAAAAGGGCAATAATGATAGTGATAATGAAAATGATGCAGAAGACCCCAGGGCCCCCAAACTCTGAAGCGTCGAAGAACAGCAGCCGAGACATGCTCGCGCCATGCTGCCAGACCCACCCTCCGGCCACTCTGGGCCGCGACTTGCAGCCGAGACATCCCAGTCTTCCGACGCGATGTGAGCCGGCTCGAGGCTTAGGGTTTAGGGTTTAGGGTTTAGGGTTTAGGGGTTAGGAGGGAATGGAAGAATGGTAGTAATAGCACTTGTAATTGTACCCCATTCCTCCATTCCCTACTAACCAAAGGTAAGGAGGTGAGCCGCTGAAGAGTGGTGTGTTCTGATTGCTCGGAGGTCGAGTCGGAGCATGCGCATTGGCATTTCTTTGCGGTTTCGTTTGAGATCTGCTACAGAGCCCACCGGGGTTAAACCCTAAACCCTAAAGCGCGAGTTTCGGAAATGCGTCTCGCAGGTTTGATTGTGAAGCGGGCTGCCGTCTTCTTGGCGCCAGCACACGCCTTCGCCGGGACATTCTTCGCATCGGTGCCATGACTTCTAGGACCCAGAGTAGGCCCTTATTCCCTTTTTGTAGGGTTCAGGTTCCCTTATAAGCCCCTTTAAGCCAAAAAGGGCGCCCTTTGTATTCCTAGGCTACTTTTGGGTCTAGACTTGGAAGCAGCCTCCTGGGAGATTGCACGTTTTGATAGCTTCAAGCATGTCCTTTCACTTTTGTTTCCTGATGACAATAGACAGTATCTAATATACTATCTATGACATCTAATATGCTGTAGAGAATATATAGTATGTTATATATTGTATATTATCTGAGTGTTGAGGCGGTGTGGCGCAAACGCAGCTACCGGCAGATCTCCTCCTCAAAGTCGGGGGGATCAGCTGCAGAGCTGTTCGTCGATGCGGACACACACAGCGTCTAGGATGCCCAGTAGTACCCTTATTCCCTTTTTCTAGTCCTAGGTTCCTTGTAAAGTTACCCAATACCAAAAAGAGACCCCTTTTTATTCCTAGGTTACTGGGTATCCTAGGCGTCGATGCGATCAGATCAGGCATCGAAATGCTTAAGCTTGAGGTGGGTGCGGTACATACAACCGTTTTTGCAGAACCTGGTCTTCCCCAGAGGAAGAATAAGAAGTGGCCGGAGCTCTTACAGGAAGCTGGAGTGTCTTTCCATCCCGTGCCAAGGTTATCATCGGTACAAGCTAGGGATCCCAACGACGACGTCATCGCAGCCAGCGTCCGTAAATTGTGCCAGTCCACTGCTATCACATGCATTGCTGTATTAGTCTCCGACCAAGATTATGCAGAAGCGTTGCAAGAAGCGATACGTTCCAACAAGGTGGTTGTAGCGGTCTGTCCAGCCGAAAAGTATCGTGTGGTGAGCACCTTTGAGAAGATGGGAGTTAGAGTTCTGAGATTGCCGCAGCAACGTGAGGAAGGTTCCGGTACGAAGATCAGGGCCATTCTAGATGAGGATGGAGGAGGCCATGTGCAGTTGGCGGAGGCCTACCCCAGCAACATCACCGTGAAGGATTCGCAGGAGGAACAAGCCGTGATTGAGTTTTTGCGCCAGCTGGGCTATCGACCCGAGGACAGCGGATACTTGATACGTCAGATAGCGAGGTTCTGGTCCACGAATGCATTGGGACCCTTGACGGTGTACCCAACTAGTCTTGCCAGAAAAGCTGTTTTTGAATTGATGGGAGTGACTAAGTTATGGAAGTTACCTCAGGCAAGACAGGCTTTGTTCCTACCGCGGACGAACACTGCCAGAGTCGGCACGGCCAGAAAAAGCAAATTCGGGGGCAAAGTGGCTTGCTCGATCTTTGAAGCAGGCGGCCCATTTCTCTTGCAAGACTCGGACGACTTGGTTGCACGGGCTCTTCGCAAACTGGGCTATTTGGATTCGAGCTTGAACAGAGACCTAGCAGAAGCACTCTTGGTCTTCGTCAACAATAGCAACAACAAGCAAGCATTACGCAAGATCGGCGCATTGCCTTCTGAGCAGGATCAAGCATCAACTGTTGGCGAAGCGCTTCGACAAGTGTTCCTGTCTGACTGCAGCCCTTGCTTTTGGTACACGGCAATCAAAGATGCTCCCCTGCGCCAGCACCTTTGCAGGGAAGGCTTTTTGCATGATGTGGCCGCCGATCGACGTGACGTCTTCCAGGCGATGCGATCCTATGCAAAGAAGAAGGGGCTGCCAGACATGAAATCATACCTCGGCTACAACTTCCGCATCATGGCCGACTTGCAATCCAATCCTAGGAGCAGAGGGTCTGTGGAGTTTCAGTGTTGATGAGCGAGCATGCGTTGGTGTCAACTCGCATTCTTCGAGAGTTCGCAAGTCGGTTTGCAAATCGACTTGACTTGAGCTTCAAAGCGGTCCTTCGGTGTGTAGCATGTTTCTCGCCGGCCATGTTCTTCTCAGTACGTCAGTACGAAGCGTATGCTTGGAGGATCATGGGACTTAGTAAGTGAGGTTACAAGTACCTTAATTGGGGTTATACGGTGGATGATATAAATTCTGCATGAGTTTGCAAGACACAGGCCGCTCCCCTTGAACCCCTGAATTTTAACATTGTCGCAGGCGGACGTGCTCTGATAGGACCGTGCGAATGATATAAATCCTGCATGACCTCCCCTCTGACATCAACATTGAAATTTAGGGGCGCGGGGATGCAACTGCTTTGACGATACATGATGGGCTGACCCACAGTCATGCACGATTTATATCATCAACAGTACGGCGCAGGGGGCGTTCTGTTTGTTTTTTATCCTGGCAGTATGTGCCTGGTGTCCTTGCGTTAGCCGCAGTGAATTATCGGGAGCTCTGCAGATCTGCGAAAGAGGGTCCGCGCTTACAGGTCTTCCTCATCAATCACAGGGTCTGCTGCGCTGGCACTCAAGTGCCTTTGACGGCGTGCTGCGTACGCAGCAGAGGATTCCGTTACGAATCTGCACCAGCTCGAGGCACAATGTGGTACCTTCTTTAAGGCCCCATTGATGGCAACATGAGCATCAAATTGGATGACGCGACTTTGCATATGCCGCACATCCTCTCGGGAAACCGGTGAGGTTGCATCCCACAGTCCCTCCAGCGGAGCCGTGAGTGCTGCACCTCTCGTCCACTTGAAATCAGGATTGCCATCGTGATGCGACTGGCTCACCTGAATTCGCAAGATTTGGCCCGCAAAAAGCTTCTTGAAAGTCACGGCAGGCACTGTGGGCGACCTTGCTGGGCGAGACGCAAACTCTGTAGGAGAGAACTCGTCCCAGTAGATGAAGCGAATAGCTTTGTTGGTCGCCAGCGAACTCAGGGCCATCGATGCTCCGAGGGCTGGGCAAAAGTCCACTGCGTTTCGGCCGAAGACGTTGACAAGTGGATCCAAGATCATACTCTTCCCGGCATTGGTCGTGCCGGCTAGCATGGGGACACGGGCTGTCTTGCTCGGACCGTGGCAGATAACGTTAGCTAAGCTGGCTGCAAGCAGCTCCTGGTCAATAGTGGCATGGTTGCGGCTGAAGAAGTCGCATGCCGCCTCTGACCACTCACAGCTGCCTTGACAGCTGCAACTTGTCTGCGCGAGTCTCTGCACTACTGCCCAGTCGCTCTCCTGCTCCAGTGCATGCTGCTGCTTTGCACCTTGCCACTGCTCCGCACCAGCGATCAGTTCAGAAAGCCGCTTCTGGTTCCGCACACAGAAGAGCTGGCAGGCGTGCGAGCCGTACTCCTGCACATAAGCTAGCACTGCACTTGGAGTCAGCAGCTTTTTTTCCAGAGCCAGAGCCGTGAAGTCCAAGAGGTTGAACTTGGGGACTCGTGCTTTCTTGCCACCGGAAGCCTCAGCACCAGCAGCAGCAGCCTCGGCCTGTTGGCGCCGCTTGGTCCACATGGTGGCACTCCAAGGCTCCTGGGATTCCTCGTAGAGGTTAAGGACAACTGCATCCCTACCAGGAACAACAAACTCTTGGCACGGACGGTCTCCAACCTGGATTGCCTCCAAACTTCCGAGACTCTTCAGCCACGCTACTGGTTGGAAGTCAACAACAGGCTTCCGCTCCGTTGTGAAAACACCATAGCGCAAGGCACTCCACCACTGCTTGTGCGTTGTGCTCCAATGCGAGGCCAAGCCAGACCGCTGCCGCAGCGCGAGTTTTAGTGGCATGAACCGCGTTGAAGTGTTCAGCTTGAGAGCTGCGTGGAAGTGCTTTGGCTCCTCCAGAAACACAACGAGCTTCACGACCTCCAAAACCTTGCTCCGAGGCCGCCCACCTCGAGGAGTCGCCTCCGGCACAGGATGCGCGACTGCGTCCAACAAGGCATCCCGAACTTGGAGGCGGGAGAGGTCTGCCAAGTCTTTCAGAGGAGTTTCGGCTTCCAGAGCAGTCTCGCTCAGAACAGCAGCGAACGTCACCAGGAAGACCATGCTACGGGCAGCAGCGTCCTCCTGGGTCAGCCAGTCGGGCTGGGCCACAGCAGCTGGACAGTCATCGTCGCCGGAGGACGAGGAGCTGGAGCTAGGCATGGCGAGCTCTGGCGCAAGCCTGCTTGCTGGTTGTTGAGCCCAACTTTCAGCACAGTCACTATGGAAGAGGCATTCAAGCTTCTCACCAGCTGCTTTCGGACGAAACTTGTTTCCCCCTAGCACTGGTGTGTCCCGAGACATGCGACTTCTGCTTCCCCCCAATAGCTTGCGGGATTCAGAGAAACCTCGAAATCGCATCCCCCAAGTACTGGTGAGATTCAACGGTTTCGAGAACCAAGAATGATGAACCCTCTATAGTTGCAAACCCAGCCGTGCCGTTTTGCCTAGTTGTAAACTAGTTGCAAACCTAGTTGCAAACCTAGTTGCAAACTCCACCTCTAAGGGGGAAAAGCACACGCACGGAGCACAACTTCTGCTGTTTCAATCGAAGCAAGCTTCAGAGTTCACGTGCGAATCCGCTTCCCCCCTTAGAGGTGGAGTTTGCAACTAGGTTTGCAACTAGGTTTGCAACTAGTTTGCAACTATGCAAAACCGCACAATCGAGTTTGCAACTATGCAGGGCCCAGAAGCAGGGCACGGGCGAGCCAGGGCCAGGGGCGGGGCGGCGCAGGGCAGGGCAAGGGCAAGCGCAGGGGCAGCAGGGCATCAGGGTAAGGGCAGAGCCCGCCCTTCAAGTCAGTGTGAATCTCGGCACTCATCACTCAGGCTGCAGTGCAAGTTTTGTCACCCCGCACGAAGTGTCCGAGTCTTAAATGGACCAATCACACATCAAGGTCAAGGAGAAGTTGCCGGGTCGCAGCGTGGCCTCCGGCCTCGCCTGCACCTGCTGAAGGATTCAAAGTTCCACTCAGTTGCTAGAGCCGCCCTCTTCGAAAAAGTAGCCCTTGGACTCATACAGCCGCTTGCAGCGTCGGACCATGTCCCCGATGCTGTCCTCAAGGAAGGCTTTGGGCAGGTTGCGGATGGTCCTCTTCAGGCGCTTCAGGTACTGCGGCCGCGTCTCACGCTTGGCGCCACTCCACGTCTTCTCCTGCTTCCGCAAGCGCTTGTTGACCTCCTTCCAAATGGCATAATCCAAGACCGAGAGATCTGGGCTACGCTTCGGGATCTCCAGGACACCAATCTGGGCTTCGTGCTTCGCAGCCAAACCCTTCGAAGACTTGTACCCGGTCGGGTCATTGTCCTCGAGGACTGTGTACTTGCGCTTACCAGGCCATGCCTTAGCCAAGTCCTTGGCAAGTGTCTTGTAGAAAACGCTCGCCGGGTTACCATTCCACCGCCCTGCGACCTCCTGGACAGAGATGACCTTGCCGGCGCCGACACCCACATGCAGCAAGACACCCTTGGCTCCGGTGTTGTGCCTCAGATTGCCCTCCTTGGGTTTCACATAGCCTTTGCACAAACCTTGTCCAGGGCGGCGGTAAGCACCAAACGTGACGTGCTTGGCGGCACGCACACGTTCAGCTCCAGTCAGGTAAACCTGAAAGTGCTTCCCGTCGATGAACGCATGCACATTGCTAAGCCACCACTGCTTCGATTTGCCACGATACTTCTTCGCGAACGCATACCTGTCTCGGATATCCGCAGGCGTCAGCACAGGCTTCTCCCGAAGCTTGCGGAAGTAAATGTTCCGCTTGTGCAGTGCATGCAAGATGCATTGCGTGCTTGCCTTGGATTTTGTCGCCTTCTTCAAGGTCTCGACGGTGATGGTAGTCGCGCCGTCCACCTTCACGATCAGCTCATCCAGCCGCCGCTCGAGCAAGTCGACCTGTGCCGTGGTCAAGGCTTTTGGCCGGCCCTGTTTCTTCGGCTGTTTCTGCATACACAGAAGCCGTGTCATGGTCGAGGTGTCCCTACCTAGCAGCTCAGCTATCTCGGATGGCTTCTTCCCGCGGCTATACCAGTCCCTCGCCAGCTCGCGCTGCTCCTCCGACATCTTAGTCCAACCTGGGACAGGCATGGCGCACTACTGGCTGCTCTGGGCGTACTGTGGGAGCTCTGTGCTACCCGCTTGATCCAAGGTCCAAAACATGCTCTATGGCATGAAGAGTGCATGACTAAATGCTTCACCGAACAATGAATCCTGTGCAACTGGCCAGATCAGGTCACGAGACATGTTTGCACTCAGCACACCGGCCCAGCTCGACGGAGCCAAAAAAAACACCCACTTTTTGCCCGAAGCAGCCTGCGTGACTAAATGCTTCACCGAACAGTGAATCCTGTGCAACTGGTCAGATAAGGTCATGAGACATGTTTGCACTCAGCACACCGGCCCAGCTCGACGGAGCCAAAAAAAAAAGACACCACCCACTTTTTGCCCGAAACAGCCTGCGTGACTAAATGCTTCACCGAACAGTGAATCCTGTGCAACTGGCCAGATCAGGTCATGAGACATGTTTGCACTCAGCACACCGGCCCAGCTCGACGGAGCCAAAAAAAAACATCACCCACTTTCTACCCCAAACAACCTCGGCCGACGTGGAGTCATTCTCGCACGCGTCTGTACTTTCACACGGCCGGTAAACAACAGCCACGGATATGGAGCTCAAAAGCACGGCTACACATCATCTTGGACGGTGGATGATATAAATCCTGCATGAGTTTGTAAGACACAGGCCGCTCCCCTTGAACCCCTGAATTTTAACATTGTCGCAGGCGGACGTGCTCTGATAGGACCGTGCGAATGATATAAATCCTGCATGACCTCCCCTCTGACATCAACATTGAAATTTAGGGGCGCGGGGATGCAACTGCTTTGACGATACATGATGGGCTGACCCACAGTCATGCACGATTTATATCATCAACAGTACGGCGCAGGGGGCGTTCTGTTTGTTTTTTATCCTGGCAGTATGTGCCTGGTGTCCTTGCGTTAGCCGCAGTGAATTATCGGGAGCTCTGCAGATCTGCGAAAGAGGGTCCGCGCTTACAGGTCTTCCTCATCAATCACAGGGTCTGCTGCGCTGGCACTCAAGTGCCTTTGACGGCGTGCTGCGTACGCAGCAGAGGATTCCGTTACGAATCTGCACCAGCTCGAGGCGCAATGTGGTACCTTCTTTAAGGCCCCATTGATGGCAACATGAGCATCAAATTGGATGACGCGACTTTGCATATGCCGCACATCCTCTCGGGAAACCGGTGAGGTTGCATCCCACAGTCCCTCCAGCGGAGCCGTGAGTGCTGCACCTCTCGTCCACTTGAAATCAGGATTGCCATCGTGATGCGACTGGCTCACCTGAATTCGCAAGATTTGGCCCGCAAAAAGCTTCTTGAAAGTCACGGCAGGCACTGTGGGCGACCTTGCTGGGCGAGACGCAAACTCTGTAGGAGAGAACTCGTCCCAGTAGATGAAGCGAATAGCTTTGTTGGTCGCCAGCGAACTCAGGGCCATCGATGCTCCGAGGGCTGGGCAAAAGTCCACTGCGTTTCGGCCGAAGACGTTGACAAGTGGATCCAAGATCATACTCTTCCCGGCATTGGTCGTGCCGGCTAGCATGGGGACACGGGCTGTCTTGCTCGGACCGTGGCAGATAACGTTAGCTAAGCTGGCTGCAAGCAGCTCCTGGTCAATAGTGGCATGGTTGCGGCTGAAGAAGTCGCATGCCGCCTCTGACCACTCACAGCTGCCTTGACAGCTGCAACTTGTCTGCGCGAGTCTCTGCACTACTGCCCAGTCGCTCTCCTGCTCCAGTGCATGCTGCTGCTTTGCACCTTGCCACTGCTCCGCACCAGCGATCAGTTCAGAAAGCCGCTTCTGGTTCCGCACACAGAAGAGCTGGCAGGCGTGCGAGCCGTACTCCTGCACATAAGCTAGCACTGCACTTGGAGTCAGCAGCTTTTTTTCCAGAACCAGAGCCGTGAAGTCCAAGAGGTTGAACTTGGGGACTCGTGCTTTCTTGCCACCGGAAGCCTCAGCACCAGCAGCAGCAGCCTCGGCCTGTTGGCGCCGCTTGGTCCACATGGTGGCACTCCAAGGCTCCTGGGATTCCTCGTAGAGGTTAAGGACAACTGCATCCCTACCAGGAACAACAAACTCTTGGCACGGACGGTCTCCAACCTGGATTGCCTCCAAACTTCCGAGACTCTTCAGCCACGCTACTGGTTGGAAGTCAACAACAGGCTTCCGCTCCGTTGTGAAAACACCATAGCGCAAGGCACTCCACCACTGCTTGTGCGTTGTGCTCCAATGCGAGGCCAAGCCAGACCGCTGCCGCAGCGCGAGTTTTAGTGGCATGAACCGCGTTGAAGTGTTCAGCTTGAGAGCTGCGTGGAAGTGCTTTGGCTCCTCCAGAAACACAACGAGCTTCACGACCTCCAAAACCTTGCTCCGAGGCCGCCCACCTCGAGGAGTCGCCTCCGGCACAGGATGCGCGACTGCGTCCAACAAGGCATCCCGAACTTGGAGGCGGGAGAGGTCTGCCAAGTCTTTCAGAGGAGTTTCGGCTTCCAGAGCAGTCTCGCTCAGAACAGCAGCGAACGTCACCAGGAAGACCATGCTACGGGCAGCAGCGTCCTCCTGGGTCAGCCAGTCGGGCTGGGCCACAGCAGCTGGACAGTCATCGTCGCCGGAGGACGAGGAGCTGGAGCTAGGCATGGCGAGCTCTGGCGCAAGCCTGCTTGCTGGTTGTTGAGCCCAACTTTCAGCACAGTCACTATGGAAGAGGCATTCAAGCTTCTCACCAGCTGCTTTCGGACGAAACTTGTTTCCCCCTAGCACTGGTGTGTCCCGAGACATGCGACTTCTGCTTCCCCCCAATAGCTTGCGGGATTCAGAGAAACCTCGAAATCGCATCCCCCAAGTACTGGTGAGATTCAACGGTTTCGAGAACCAAGAATGATGAACCCTCTATAGTTGCAAACCCAGCCGTGCCGTTTTGCCTAGTTGTAAACTAGTTGCAAACCTAGTTGCAAACCTAGTTGCAAACTCCACCTCTAAGGGGGAAAAGCACACGCACGGAGCACAACTTCTGCTGTTTCAATCGAAGCAAGCTTCAGAGTTCACGTGCGAATCCGCTTCCCCCCTTAGAGGTGGAGTTTGCAACTAGTTTGCAACTAGGTTTGCAACTAGTTTGCAACTATGCAAAACCGCACAATCGAGTTTGCAACTATGCAGGGCCCAGAAGCAGGGCACGGGCGAGCCAGGGCCAGGGGCGGGGCGGCGCAGGGCAGGGCAAGGGCAAGCGCAGGGGCAGCAGGGCATCAGGGTAAGGGCAGAGCCCGCCCTTCAAGTCAGTGTGAATCTCGGCACTCATCACTCAGGCTGCAGTGCAAGTTTTGTCACCCCGCACGAAGTGTCCGAGTCTTAAATGGACCAATCACACATCAAGGTCAAGGAGAAGTTGCCGGGTCGCAGCGTGGCCTCCGGCCTCGCCTGCACCTGCTGAAGGATTCAAAGTTCCACTCAGTTGCTAGAGCCGCCCTCTTCGAAAAAGTAGCCCTTGGACTCATACAGCCGCTTGCAGCGTCGGACCATGTCCCCGATGCTGTCCTCAAGGAAGGCTTTGGGCAGGTTGCGGATGGTCCTCTTCAGGCGCTTCAGGTACTGCGGCCGCGTCTCACGCTTGGCGCCACTCCACGTCTTCTCCTGCTTCCGCAAGCGCTTGTTGACCTCCTTCCAAATGGCATAATCCAAGACCGAGAGATCTGGGCTACGCTTCGGGATCTCCAGGACACCAATCTGGGCTTCGTGCTTCGCAGCCAAACCCTTCGAAGACTTGTACCCGGTCGGGTCATTGTCCTCGAGGACTGTGTACTTGCGCTTACCAGGCCATGCCTTAGCCAAGTCCTTGGCAAGTGTCTTGTAGAAAACGCTCGCCGGGTTACCATTCCACCGCCCTGCGACCTCCTGGACAGAGATGACCTTGCCGGCGCCGACACCCACATGCAGCAAGACACCCTTGGCTCCGGTGTTGTGCCTCAGATTGCCCTCCTTGGGTTTCACATAGCCTTTGCACAAACCTTGTCCAGGGCGGCGGTAAGCACCAAACGTGACGTGCTTGGCGGCACGCACACGTTCAGCTCCAGTCAGGTAAACCTGAAAGTGCTTCCCGTCGATGAACGCATGCACATTGCTAAGCCACCACTGCTTCGATTTGCCACGATACTTCTTCGCGAACGCATACCTGTCTCGGATATCCGCAGGCGTCAGCACAGGCTTCTCCCGAAGCTTGCGGAAGTAAATGTTCCGCTTGTGCAGTGCATGCAAGATGCATTGCGTGCTTGCCTTGGATTTTGTCGCCTTCTTCAAGGTCTCGACGGTGATGGTAGTCGCGCCGTCCACCTTCACGATCAGCTCATCCAGCCGCCGCTCGAGCAAGTCGACCTGTGCCGTGGTCAAGGCTTTTGGCCGGCCCTGTTTCTTCGGCTGTTTCTGCATACACAGAAGCCGTGCCATGGTCGAGGTGTCCCTACCTAGCAGCTCAGCTATCTCGGATGGCTTCTTCCCGCGGCTATACCAGTCCCTCGCCAGCTCGCGCTGCTCCTCCGACATCTTAGTCCAACCTGGGACAGGCATGGCGCACTACTGGCTGCTCTGGGCGTACTGTGGAAGCTCTGTGCTACCCGCTTGATCCAAGGTCCAAAACATGCTCTATGGCATGAAGAGTGCATGACTAAATGCTTCACCGAACAATGAATCCTGTGCAACTGGCCAGATCAGGTCACGAGACATGTTTGCACTCAGCACACCGGCCCAGCTCGACGGAGCCAAAAAAAAAAACACCCACTTTTTGCCCGAAGTAGCCTGCGTGACTAAATGCTTCACCTAACAGTGAATCCTGTGCAACTGGCCAGATAAGGTCATGAGACATGTTTGCACTCAGCACAGCGGCCCAGCTCGACGGAGCCAAAAAAAAAGACACCACCCACTTTTTGCTCGAAACAGCCTGCGTGACTAAATGCTTCACCGAACAGTGAATCCTGTGCAACTGGCCAGATCAGGTCATGAGACATGTTTGCACTCAGCACACCGGCCCAGCTCGACGGAGCCAAAAAAAAAACATCACCCACTTTCTACCCCAAACAACCTCGGCCGACGTGGAGTCATTCTCGCACGCGTCTGTACTTTCACACGGCCGGTAAACAACAGCCACGGATATGGAGCTCAAAAGCACGGCTACACATCATCTTGGACGGTGGATGATATAAATCCTGCATGAGTTTGTAAGACACAGGCCGCTCCCCTTGAACCCCTGAATTTTAACATTGTCGCAGGCGGACGTGCTCTGATAGGACCGTGCGAATGATATAAATCCTGCATGACCTCCCCTCTGACATCAACATTGAAATTTAGGGGCGCGGGGATGCAACTGCTTTGACGATACATGATGGGCTGACCCACAGTCATGCACGATTTATATCATCAACAGTACGGCGCAGGGGGCGTTACAGGTCTTCCTCATCAATCACCGGGTCTGCTGCGCTGGCACTCAAGTGCCTTTGACGGCGTGCTGCGTACGCAGCAGAGGATTCCGTTACGAATCTGCACCAGCTCGAGGCGCAATGTGGTACCTTCTTTAAGGCCCCATTGATGGCAACATGAGCATCAAATTGGATGACGCGACTTTGCATATGCCGCACATCCTCTCGGGAAACCGGTGAGGTTGCATCCCACAGTCCCTCCAGCGGAGCCGTGAGTGCTGCACCTCTCGTCCACTTGAAATCAGGATTGCCATCGTGATGCGACTGGCTCACCTGAATTCGCAAGATTTGGCCCGCAAAAAGCTTCTTGAAAGTCACGGCAGGCACTGTGGGCGACCTTGCTGGGCGAGACGCAAACTCTGTAGGAGAGAACTCGTCCCAGTAGATGAAGCGAATAGCTTTGTTGGTCGCCAGCGAACTCAGGGCCATCGATGCTCCGAGGGCTGGGCAAAAGTCCACTGCGTTTCGGCCGAAGACGTTGACAAGTGGATCCAAGATCATACTCTTCCCGGCATTGGTCGTGCCGGCTAGCATGGGGACACGGGCTGTCTTGCTCGGACCGTGGCAGATAACGTTAGCTAAGCTGGCTGCAAGCAGCTCCTGGTCAATAGTGGCATGGTTGCGGCTGAAGAAGTCGCATGCCGCCTCTGACCACTCACAGCTGCCTTGACAGCTGCAACTTGTCTGCGCGAGTCTCTGCAATACTGCCCAGTCGCTCTCCTGCTCCAGTGCATGCTGCTGCTTTGCACCTTGCCACTGCTCCGCACCAGCGATCAGTTCAGAAAGCCGCTTCTGGTTCCGCACACAGAAGAGCTGGAAGGCGTGCGAGCCGTACTCCTGCACATAAGCTAGCACTGCACTTGGAGTCAGCAGCTTTTTTTCCAGAACCAGAGCCGTGAAGTCCAAGAGGTTGAACTTGGGGACTCGTGCTTTCTTGCCACCGGAAGCCTCAGCACCAGCAGCAGCAGCCTCGGCCTGTTGGCGCCGCTTGGTCCACATGGTGGCACTCCAAGGCTCCTGGGATTCCTCGTAGAGGTTAAGGACAACTGCATCCCTACCAGGAACAACAAACTCTTGGCACGGACGGTCTCCAACCTGGATTGCCTCCAAACTTCCGAGACTCTTCAGCCACGCTACTGGTTGGAAGTCAACAACAGGCTTCCGCTCCGTTGTGAAAACACCATAGCGCAAGGCACTCCACCACTGCTTGTGCGTTGTGCTCCAATGCGAGGCCAAGCCAGACCGCTGCCGCAGCGCGAGTTTTAGTGGCATGAACCGCGTTGAAGTGTTCAGCTTGAGAGCTGCGTGGAAGTGCTTTGGCTCCTCCAGAAACACAACGAGCTTCACGACCTCCAAAACCTTGCTCCGAGGCCGCCCACCTCGAGGAGTCGCCTCCGGCACAGGATGCGCGACTGCGTCCAACAAGGCATCCCGAACTTGGAGGCGGGAGAGGGCTGCCAAGTCTTTCAGAGGAGTTTCGGCTTCCAGAGCAGTCTCGCTCAGAACAGCAGCGAACGTCACCAGGAAGACCATGCTACGGGCAGCAGCGTCCTCCTGGGTCAGCCGGGCCACAGCAGCTGGACAGTCATCGTCGCCGGAGGACGAGGAGCTGGAGCTAGGCATGGCGAGCTCTGGCGCAAGCCTGCTTGCTGGTTGTTGAGCCCAACTTTCAGCACAGTCACTATGGAAGAGGCATTCAAGCTTCTCACCAGCTGCTTTCGGACGAAACTTGTTTCCCCCTAGCACTGGTGTGTCCCGAGACATGCGACTTCTGCTTCCCCCCAATAGCTTGCGGGATTCAGAGAAACCTCGAAATCGCATCCCCCAAGTACTGGTGAGATTCAACGGTTTCGAGAACCAAGAATGATGAACCCTCTATAGTTGCAAACCCAGCCGTGCCGTTTTGCCTAGTTGTAAACTAGTTGCAAACCTAGTTGCAAACCTAGTTGCAAACTCCACCTCTAAGGGGGAAAAGCACACGCACGGAGCACAACTTCTGCTGTTTCAATCGAAGCAAGCTTCAGAGTTCACGTGCGAATCCGCTTCCCCCCTTAGAGGTGGAGTTTGCAACTAGGTTTGCAACTAGTTTGCAACTATGCAAAACCGCACAATCGAGTTTGCAACTATGCAGGGCCCAGAAGCAGGGCACGGGCGAGCCAGGGCCAGGGGCGGGGCGGCGGAGG